TAAATAGTCACTTGTGTGCTTGGATCTATTGTGTTTTTTTTCCATTATAACACGTTCAAACAATATTTCATGTGCTCCACTTTCCTCCCATAGTTTGATACTGTATCATTCTATGCCGATTTCATATTGGTTATTCTTGTTCTGTGTGAACTTCCAATTAATTTTTATTTCCCACAGAACTCGGATGGAAAGCAATAGTTAACTGATAGCATGAGATTATTCAACTACATTACGAAAGAGAATTAGTTTGTGACCTTTTTGCTCTGTTAATCACAACGTAGCAGCAGTGTTTAATTACTTCAAAAGTGCGCTGGCGGTTCAGTGGCAGATTGCTTGCCAACCACGCACGTGTTCCGAGATAGACTCCCTGCTGACGCACTCCTTACCTGGTTTAATAATAATAATTTTGCTTTTATTCCAGAAACAGTACTAGTGATACAGTGTGGAATTTTCAGCACATATCTACAATATTGCATCTAATTTCATCGCACATTTAAAAGGAGTATTACAAAAAAAAAAAAAAAAAAAAAAAAAAATAATAATTATAAAAAAAAAAATACCAAAAAATGCAAATAAAAATACCAAGTAGAAAGGAATATAAACACCAATAATGAAAAATATTTCAGTATTTGGTAGTGGAAGCTATGATATGTATATGTGTGGTGAACAGTAAAGCTATAATCATACAAGAAGTTATGAAATGTTCTTAAGAATGTTTATAGCCAAGATGATCAGTTAGTTTGATTGAACTACACTAAACAATCATAAAATAAACATTTCAGGGTTTCTAATTGTCAGCACTAATGCAGTGTTTGTTGTGGTAGTGTGAGTAATCATGCATAATACAAAAATTTTAAGATTGTGATAACGGCGTTCACAACCAAGATTGTCAGTTTAAATATTGCCGAACAAAAAAAAACAACCACAAAACTAATATTACATGATGGTTAATGACAGCACAATTTTGTAATACTCATCGTGATAATATAGTCGGGACCAGTAGATACACAAAAGAAGGAATAGTATAAAGAATAAAAAGTAAGTTAATCATAATAATTTTAGGTAGCTAAGTATGTTTAAGAAGGTTGTTCACTATAGAGTACAAATAATAGAGTATAAGGGGGAAATAAAAGGGCCAAAATTATGTTATTAACAACAAAGCAAGTCATAGATTTCGCGCTTAACATTGTCTCTGTCACTTAGAACACGGGCCAAATATGGTATCGTTGAGTTCCTATACTCGGTTGTACGAGCATATATTATTTTGTACTGATTTCTGGTTCTACCTGATGAGATACAAGGAGAGATTTGGGAATAGAGGGGGAGTTGGGGGTCGGGGAGTATGTTTTCAGACCATTTTTGACATGTATTCTGATGCTTATCTACTAATGTAGTGGCGAGCTGACTGAGTTTTACACCACTAGTCCTACTAACTTTCTTCAACATCCTTCTCAGGATGGTATAGTCTTTTTTCAGTAACCCAGGAAAGACTAATGGGGAGCAGTAAAGTAGAATAGATAAGATAAGAGAGTTAACAAATTGTGAAAGCAGAGTTTGAGTGATTCCAGTTAGTCTGAGTTTCTTAATGTAGTGGGTTAGACGAAACACTTTCTTAGAAATCGTTTGAATATGAGATGACCAGGTAAGGTCGGAAGATAGAACTAATCCGAGGTATTTTGCATTAGATTTGGTTTCAATTTTAGTCCCCTCAATGCTACAGGCTTCATGAGTGCTTACTAGTGTTTGTAGATCTCGTTTATGCCTAAAGGAGAAGTCAATGGTCTGGCATCTTGAGAGATTCTGCATGAGACCATTTAGTTTAGACCACTGACTGATGTCCGACAGGAAGCTATTTAATTTGAAACAGTCCGACTGAGACTTAACGGGGAGCGAGACAGTCAAGTCATCTGCATATTTGACGAAGTTGATTTCGTCTGAAAGAAGTAAGTCATGTAAGAAGAAGGAAAAGAGGAACGGAGAGAGAACAGCACCCTGAGGAACACCAGCTTCAGTAAGCAAAGGAGAGGAAGCTACACCATTATATACCGTGTACTGCATCCTATTGGAGAAGTAAGAGTGCAGTCAGTTGATAGCCCAGGATTCAGTTTGTGTAAGGCTTAGCTTGTTTAACAAAAGGCCTCTAGGTACAGAGTCGAAAGCAAATGTGTAATCAAGGAACGTACAACGGACATACTTGGCCCCTTTGTCTAAGGAGGATACAATGTTGTGATGAAACACAGCAGCACCATCCAAAGTACTTCTACCCTGTTTGTAAGCAAACTGCTTTGGATCATTTGAGAAGCTTAAGGAGGGAACAAGTTTTTGTGTCAATAATTTCTCCATTAGTTTCAAAAAAGGAGAGGTAATAGCAATAGGTCTAAACTTAACACTATTTCCAGAACCCGACTTGGGTACATGGATGATGTTGATATCTTTCCACAGAGAAGGTACAACATTATTAGAAAAAGAAGTATTGAAAATGTTTGTAAGTGGGTTACTTAAAATATCAGCACATTTCTTTAGGACAATGACAGGTATACCATCAGGGCCTAGACTCTGGGATGGTTTTAGAGATTTTAAACATTTAAGAACATCAGAAGTATTGAAACTATGAAAGTCACCGGTCGTGTTATTAGTTAAATTGAAGGCAAAAGGGGAATTTGGAGGGCGGATAAAAGATCTATTGAGAGTATTTACATCAATAGAAGAGGCAAAATTATTATGCTTACCACAACCTGTAATTTCTCTAAAAAGCTTCCATATGTTTTCTGAAGTTTTACAAGACAGTATTGTTTGATTATAAATATTGTTTAGTCTCTTGATTTCAGATTTAATTTGGATGTTTATCTTCCTGTGACCAGATTTATTCTTTGTCTTGTACAGCTTCTCTCTTTCTCTTCGAAGCTTTTTGAAACGAGACGATAATAGTCCTGAGAAAGAGGAAAGGTTGACCGTGAGACTAGCAACCTTATCCCGCAATAAAGAACACCACTACTGAAACTTTTAGACTCTAAACTCCATGTCCCACTTGGGATGCAAGGAAATAAAAAATTCCAATCACTTTGAATTCCACGAAGGATAATCTGTTTTCTTTATTATTCATTAATTGTGAATAATCATAAAAGCTACTAGGAATGTTTTGACTAAGTCGCATATAAATGAAATATCTTCTAAACTTTTATCTTAAACAGTGTTTTGTAAGTCTCATTGTTGACTGTTTTAGAAATATAATACCTACCGATTTTCAACATATATTACTAAGAAGATATTCTCTGAGCAACTACGATAGTTAGAACTTAAAAAAATAACCGATATGTTTACGAAAGCCTTCTTCTCATTATATCAGGGCCTTTGTAATTTAGTCGAATTGCAACTATGGGCATCATCATCGGACAAAGCAGAGAATAGCAGTCAAACCTCCACCTCAACTTCGAAAAGGCCTTAGACGACGTTGACCGAGAGGTAATTTGGAAACTACTTCAACACTACGCGTACCTCAAGTCTTTATCAACCTCATCAACAGCTATATCATAATGACACGTGTCAGGCGATCCACAACAGAAAACTCAGCGAAGGCTTTGAAGTGAATGCAGGAGTAAAACATACTGGCCGCCTATTATCACCAATGATATTCCTAATTGTGGTGGATTGAACCAGGCGTCATACTCTGCGTGGGGAGTGAGAAGACAGGAATACACTGGGTGAGTATAAAGACTCTAGAAGATCTGCATTTAGCAGATGATTTATGTCACACAGACTCGAAGACTTACAGGCGAAAACGAACAAACTATCAGAAGAAGCAGCGACAACAAGACTCCAGGTGAACATAAAGAAGACGGAGGTGATGAAGATAACCAACGAACCGCAAAAACCTTCACCAGTTACCATCAACGGGAGAAATTTAACCGAGGTCACCTCCTCCACTTATCTGGCCAGAAAGTGCGGTCGGAACGTATGAAGATGTCAAAGTCAGCCAGAATCGGAAGGGCAAGATACACCTTCATCAATCTGTAACCAATTCGGAAATTTCCTGCACTCAGCATAAACAACAAGATTCACATTTTAAACACCAATGGGAAGTCAGTCAGTGCTCCTATATGGGTCAGAAACCTGCACTGCGTGTCACGAAAAGCATTTCCATCAGGTTACAGACTTTTACCAACAGCTGCCTTCGCTCCACACTGAATATCAAATGACCGGTCAAAAAGAAACAGCCACAAGAAACTCTGGCGATGAACAAATCAACCAAGAGTCGATCGCTCAACAAATATGTAGGAGAAAAATGGAGATGGGTCGGGTATACTTTGAGGAGATTGTCAAATGTAGGTCATGTTAGAAGGCGATAATGTGTAATAGGCAATCGTGTACCCAGATGAATAGGACGCAGAAAATAGTAGAAGGTCCAGATATTTTGATGAAGCCCTATTTTCCATTCGTAACCCTCAGGAATAATATTTATACTTTTTAAGGTATATTTCTCAATTAGTAACCGTATGACTTACATTACCTGTTAGATATGATAGAGAAGATTTGTAGCTCAGGTGGATGATTTTGATCACCTGTATCTGACTATTTAGCGTCACTGTTCAGCTACTGCTATTTTGGCCAGATGTTGTTGAACCGTGGTTTCAGTTTTGCGAGTCTGACTTCAGTGAACATACGATCAATGACCAATGTTCAGCGTTTCATGCGGTTATCCGTGCTCTGCCGCGGGAACTAAGCGAATGCGTTCATATATCAAGCCCAGAGATAAGCTTAAAGTATTCCTCCTGAAGAGAAACGACCTTACAAATCACCAGAGTCTTGACGAATTATTTTGCAACGTCGGGTTAGGTGATCCGTCGACTGTGAACATGCTTGTGAGAATGTAGGAAGTTATCGGCCGACGTCACTACGATGAGGGACTTTCCAGAGAGCTCGATACGACTTGATATGTTTATGAGCAATAGTTTGTGCTCGAAATGTCATTAGTTAATACTACTCTATTACTCTGTGATTTATCAAAATAAAATCTTATCTGTAATGCAGTGACAATCTACCACAGTACCCAAGTTTTATACTTATACCTTAAGAGAGCTGTTCTTTTCCAAATTGCCGCGGTCAATACAAGCTGTTCTCGTGACATTCAAAGGTGTCATTATAGACGATTTAGCCATTTCTGCTGATAGCATTCTAGAAATAACAAAACGGCAAGTTACTTAAATGCTCTCATTTGCTAAACAGTCTTCGAGCAGCGATAGTGCATTGATAGAGTTACGCAACTTCGTCCAGCGACTACTGAGGTTGAATGGTTCCTGTCAATGTAGTTGAAGAATGAACGATCAATTCATGATTGTTGACTCAAAACCAACTTCATATTTCGGCGGGAGTCACCGATACTGCAGTTCGTTAGAAGACGGAGAAATACTATTAGAAGTATTATTGTGACTAATTGTTATGACATTTATTCTTAGATTTTGTGTATAATAATCTTATTGTTCGCTCCATATTGGTGCGAGAATAAAGGATTCTCGAGTCACCAATCTGTGTTCTGATTTTTCGCGTTGGTTATTGAGCATTGTTGCTCAAGGTCAATTAATCAAAAGAGCATGTAGGTAAGGCTGGAGCATCAGATATTTGTAAGTTAATTGTTACCAATCTCCATCCGTAATTATCTGCCAATACATATCCTCTCTGAGTAAATTTGCCTACTTTTCGTCCTGGTGTTTGCTGAAACTAAGAGAATAAAAAGTGTGTTCTAGGTCTTACTTCATTTTTTACATTAATCTCGATCTCTTCATTTCATTGTTCTATGCTTCTGAAGAACCTGATAACTTGAACAAACGCACTTTGAGCAGCTGTGTCGTAATACTTATCCATCTCCTGGCCTTAAAATATTTGTGAGATAGGTCTAGCCTAGGATCAATCCACATGAGCACCGTTAGTCGTAATCTCAACCTCAATCAATTTACCAGTTATGAAGTATTTTAGTTTTCCGGAACTTGAGGTTGAAATTTCCGATGGAATATAAAAGCATAAACCGACTGTCCCTTGAGAAAACTTTAATAAAAGCTTGTGCACATAGTTATATTCTGGCAAAAAATAAGATTTTCTCAAGTATGATGTCATACAATTGCGTCAACGCATCACTCAGTTATTTTCCATTGATTCATGTGGTATCAGGTGGGATAGACTCCAAACTGGTTTTTGTTCTTCATTTTCCATAAATGATTTTCTAATAGATCGCAGTTGCCAGAACTGTGAACATTGAATAAAAAATGAAATAAATACTCACACCTTTCTCATCACAATAAATAAAAACGAATCGATCAAACCAGCCATCTTAATTTGTGATTGAATTAACAGAAAATTGACCACGGTGGTAAATAATGTATTTATTACAATGAGATTTCCTGTGCAAACCAGTTTACTGAGTTCACAACCATATCTGTTTACAGATTAAAATACGCAATCACTTTGTGAGAAACTACTTGCTACACCGTAAGTTCTCTCAGTTTGAGACCTACAAAACTGACGAATACACGCGGTAACCCGAAGGTCAGATTGCGCTTGTTATTGGAGCTTTAAACTTATCAAAATAAACTTCTCTCATGAGAATTAAAAAATCATGTGATTCACCAAAAGAACAAGCCCATAGACCAAATAAACTTCGTGAATTCGATGTGACTTATTGACAGACACAAATTTCCAATTCACGTGGAAATTGAGATAGAACACAATTTGAACAACAGTCAGTTTACTCAGCGCACAGAATGCGAGAACTTCGCTTACAGAATTTATCTGAATTCTTTGCGGAATTGATACTAGCAAAAGTAGAACAAACGCATGATCAAGCCTAAATATTATTTACCATATCCTAGTAAAAATCACCCTAATTCCAAAAATAGCACACAATTATGACGTGCGGCTATGAAAAGTGTAAAACGCCTGGTGTAACAGGTAAATTGCATATGAGTTAGACTCTATGCCAAAATCAAATTTAGTGTAACAGATACCGCTGAGCAGAGTAGAACTCACCTGCATACGGCCATCAACAGAGGCTACAGCAGTAGTCACCTCATTTAACCGATCAACGGTGAAATTGACAGGATATGCTTGTTTTGGACGTCTGGACGAAGCAGCAGTCGCTACAAGAACATAAGAGCAGCTGCTGTTATCTAGTTCGTAGGTTTCTTTGCAAGTTTTCTGAATCATATTAGATGAATGAGCATAAAAGTCCATCGCTAAGGCAAGCCCACGACGAGCATACACGCTCAAATTACCATTTTCGTGTAGACAGATGATAACATCACGTTGAGTGCAAGAATAAACCTGTAAATTGCAAGTACACTTTGTGTTATCACCTATAAATTTCTGGTTATCAATTATTTCAAAACATTTAAATTAAATGGGGATTTTATCCGATTACGTTTGGGTTAACAGACAATGACTTCATTAAAAAATATATAACTGATACGTCTTTGAACTTATGAATTGATGAGGAAGTGACTAAACACAACAATATGAATTCAATGCATGATACCCAGATTAGTGGTCTTTAACTTCAGCACTCATAAGTTCATAGTAATAAGGGGTGCTAAAAATTTAGACTCGTATAATGGAGTTAGACTGCCAAGTCTATCTACAGGCTAGACACGTCACTATCAAGGCAAGCGTCTGGCCATTTAAATATACTTCTTGGCTATATATTTTACTTGTAAACAAGTCATACACAGCCACAATGGGTTCTTATGCAGGAAAAATGGTATGATATTAAGGTTGCTATTTCAAAAATCATAACTATCGATTCCCCAATCACACTAAGCTATAAAACTTGAATATAAGAAACAAAAGTTAAAAATGCTTTTTATGGTTTTAACAAACTTACACGTGAAAAAGATGGCCGAGAGCGATCCAGAGAAATAACACCAAGAGGGTGAATTACTGCTAGGTTCACGAAAACAATCTCCCGCTTGAAAACAAATAACACACAGTCCTTGTTATATCCATGATAAGTAACCTGTAAGCATATCTTTTTAGGTGTTGTTCCTCCCTTATCGCTTGAAGTATCCCATGTCCTAAGTGGAAATTAGGTAAACAGCTTCTCAAAGCCACATCAAAGAAATAGTGCAAACTACATAGTACCTGAGTCGCTCTATTACTTCATTAATCATCATGTAATGATGAAACAGCGTATCAGACATGCTCAATAAGTATGAAAAATAATGGTTAAAGAAAATGGATGTACTTACAAGTCCTATGAAGTTCATGAAGTCTTTACAAAAACAACAGTGGATTCATAGCACAACTTTTACATGGCGATTCATTTAAACCTTAGTAAGTGGACTTCTGTAATACTTCGATGATTACATTTTTTAGTTTTATCTAACTCCGATATTTACTTAATTTAAATTTACCAACGGTCTAATTAACTCAATTCACCATAAACTTCGATAAATAAACACAAAAGATGGAACAGAACATAATTAACAACATGTTTGCTTCATACATATATTCCCCTTTACGAATTTGAACAAAGCAAGAATAAGTTTGTGCAAAATAAGATGGCACCGTCATTTACACACAACCTTCGCATTCCAATCAACAAACTGAGCTCTTATAAGTTTCCCAAACACTGTTTCGACGCACCTTTGCAGGAGCGGACATAGATGTAAGAAATAGTCAGGACAAATAAGACTGCAATTAATAATTACTGAGTTCCTTAAGAACGAATATTATTATAAATCTAACAATCCTCTGTATCTCAGGAAAATACACCATCTTATGGCAACCTTGTATTGATGCTATGAGCGTAAACATCATGATCTTGTGACAGTAGATGGATGTATGAACTAACGGTGTTGGCCTACTTCCATAAAAGCTAGAATGAGACGACTGTAACACTCCGCAAATACGCCATATTCAAATATACTAGCTTCGGCCTGGTAGGCACATAGCAATGTGCAGCTTAGATTGCAAACAAGGAGTGTAACTTCTTACCTTTCTGAAATTCCCATACTAGAAATCCATCCGCTGATGGCCGATTTTACAGATGTCACTCCCGTCCCTGTCCCTTGACAGTCAGTTTCAGTGTGAAAAGCTTTAACATCACCAAATACAAGAGTATATTAACTAACAAGAACAAACCAGTTCCATGTGTGGAGTCCTCAAAAAGAAACTTATCCAAATTTTACTACTATGTAAATAATGAACATATTGTACACTACTTTGTTTTAACCATAAACTCTGTACTTTGACTTTACCTCGGGTTTTGAATAAATATATAGTTCTACTTTCGACTCTCCGTCTTCTCCACCATCTCAACTGCCGTCGATCAATCCTAATCACCTGCTTTCTATCTCTGATTTTTGCAGGAGCACCGTAGTTTCTTCCTACGTACTTTGGTCGACCTCCGGCAACGTTAACATTGGAGAATTACTACTGGAGCAGTCTTTCCGCAGCACCTGGAGTCTATTACGTTTATTGTGGACTGTGGACCTTTGTAAACTCAAGTAATCAAACTTTAATACATTCTTCCCGTAACTAAACTCATTTGGTATTTTATTTTCTACTTGAATTTGGGTAACTAAGCTAATAGAGTGAAAAGGTCCACCACAATAATTGGTGAGCCCGTTTCGAACCCTTTTTTTATGGTTAACCCGTTTTCGAACCTTTTTGTTTCGATAGTTACCTCGTTTTGAACATTTTTGTTGCTATTTTGTCCTTATAAACTCGCACTGCTTTAATTTTTGTTACCACAAGTTTTTCTATTTTGTATATCTATATACTTACATATTATATGACAATGGCTCCACCTAAACGTACCACTGTTGCTGAAGAAGGTAATAAAGGCGAAGAGACACAGAACTCTGCTGTTAACGCCTTGCCGGATTTAAGACTTCCTCAATTTGATCTGGCTGAACCACGTGTCTGGTTCACAGTCATTGAACAGTTGTTTGCAGCTCGAGGTATTACGTCGCAGATCGCCATGTATGGTTGCGTATTAGCAGCAATTCCCACGGAAGTACTACGAGAGGTTATCGATGTCATAGACAGCAAACCTACAGACTCTCAATATGACAAACTAAAAGCTGCACTCATCCAGCGGACCACTCTCTCCGATGAGAAACGCATACAACAACTACTTACTTCGTGTGATCTAGGTACAAAAAAGCCATCTCAACTACTTAGACATATGCGCCAGTTGATTGGGTCACACAAAGTAGATGAGTTAATTCTACGTCAGATGTTCTTACAACGTTTACCACAAAATGTTCAACAAATCCTAACAATATCTTCTAGGACGACAGACCTTGAAGAATTAGCTAAAATGGCAGACGATACAAACCATGTGTTATCAAATAATGGCATAAATAGCGTGTCTACCGAGGCAGTACCACCAAGCCCTTCCACATCTATGAAGGACGCACCAATGTTTTGGTTACTTTCCCAGTTAACATCTCAAATGCAAGATTTACGACTGGAAGTGTCCGAGCTTCGAGCACAAAGGAACCAGTCACATACGGTATCCAAGCAACGGCGATCAAGATCTAGACGACGTTCTAGAACACCGTCTCAAAGCCGTAACATTTGTTGGTATCATAGGAGGTATGGGCATAATGCCCTGAAGTGTATTCGACCGTGTATGTACAACAGTAGTAACTCATCTCAGGGAAACTCCCCAGCCAGACAGTAATGGCGACGGCTGTTAATGGCAATCACCCCAGTCGCCTTTTCTATGTGAGGGATTTGACTACCGGCACATTATTCCTGGTAGATACAGGCGCCGAGGTCAGTGTTATTCCCCCCTCACTATCCAGGCGATCAGCCAAAATACCTGGAAAACTTTCACTCCGTGCTGCCAACCAAACCAACATACAGACGTATGGCGAACAGTCAATGATTTTAAATTTAGGACTACGCCGACGTTTCACATGGATCTTCATAGTAGCTGACGTACGTCACGCTATACTAGGTGCAGACTTCCTAAGTCACTTCAATCTGTTAGTTGATATCAGCAAGAAAAAACTGGTTGACAATTGCACCCAACTCAAGATCCATGGTATTACATGTGACTACTCGGTTCATAGCATCTGTATAGAAAAGCCGGAGAGTGAAATGTTCTCTGCTTTATTGAAACGATTTCCTAAAATCCTTAAACCATCATACAACGTCGAAGATATATCTCATACAGTTACGCATAAGATCATCACAACAGGACAACCTGTGAAGGCACGTCCACGACGGTTACCACCCGATAAACTAGCAGCAGCTAAGTCGGAATTTGAACATATGATGCAGTTAGGTATCATACGACCATCTAACAGCCCATGGTCTTCACCTTTACACATGGTACCTAAAACTAATCATGACTGGCGACCATGTGGAGATTATCGCGCTTTGAATAACGCTACGGTCCCAGATCGTTATCCTATACCTCATCTCCACGACTTCTCCTTGACCTTACATGGAAAGACCGTTTTTACCAAAGTTGACTTGGTCAGGGCATATCATCAAATACCAGTCGCTCCAGAAGACATTGCAAAAACAGCAATTATCACGCCTTTTGGATTATTCGAATTCTTGAGAATGCCTTTCGGACTAAAGAATGCTGCTCAAACATTTCAGCGTTTTATGGACCAAGTTACCCAAGGTCTTGATTTCGTCTTTGTATATATCGACGATGTCTTAATTGCCAGCTCATCGATGGAAGAACATATGCAACACTTAAGCCTGTTATTTCAAAGGTTTGAACAATTTGGAGTTGTTATCAATCCAAAGAAATGTATTTTTGGTTCCCCTTCCATTGAATTCTTAGGACATCGAATAACTGCCGAAGGCATCAGACCTACCGAAGATAAGATAGAAACTATTAAGAACTTTCCCGAACCTGATTCCTTAAAGAAACTTAGACGTTTTCTCGGGATGTTCAACTTCTACCGACGTTTTATTCCATCATGTGCCTCCATAGTTCAGCCACTGACCGACCTACTTAGATGCAATTCGAAGAAATTTCAGTGGTCTGAAGAAGCAAAAGCAGCATTTAATAATGCAAAAGATGCCTTATCCAACGTTGTAATGTTATCTCATATCAACCCAGAAGCTTCACTCATTTTATGTACAGATGCATCGCAGGTAGCAGTGGGAGCAGTTTTACAACAAAAGTTCAATAATGACATCACTCCACTTGCTTTCTTCTCCAAGAAGTTGGAACCTGCGCAAACTCGTTACAGCACCTTTGGCAGAGAACTGTTAGCCATCTACCTAGCAGTGAAACATTTCAGCTTCTTACTACAAGGTCGACATTTTACTATCTTAACCGACCATAAGCCTCTTTGTTATGCTTTCACCACTTCGTTGGACAGACACTCTCCGAGAGAAGCCAGACAACTGGATTACATCTCACAATTCTCAACAGACATCCAGTTCATCAAAGGAGATTCTAATATCGTAGCCGATTCTTTGTCTCGATGTGACGTTAATCACCTATCTTCGATAGATATTAGCTTAGACAATATTGCCAAGCTGCAGAAAAATGACGCCGAACTCCATACTTGTAGACGAAACTCCTCCCTACAGTTGCAGGATGTACCTATTCCCCTGTCTGATACAACTATCGTCTGCGACGTTTCAACGGGAGTTCATAGACCTTTTGTTCCACTAAGTTGTCGAAAAACTTTGTTTGAACATCTACATTCATTGTCTCATTATTTCAGGTTACACTCTTCGGATGGTCACAGCTTCAACAACTCGAAGTAGTTGCGAAGTACTTTTTCAATTCATCAACTTACAAGATTCTACTATGTTAGTAGTGTCCTGTATCGGCCAGGTGCTAAGCTATGGCGCTATTAAATGATGCCGAACCTCCTAGGCGTAGACTCTTGGGAACGTGTTTACCAATCCTTGTATACAAAAGTCTCTCCACTCTTCCTACGTACTTGCTACCGCATGTACATGTCAATTAATAAACAC